ATTTTGTTGATGTTTTCTCCATTTTTGGTCCGTAACAATTTGTACGCGTGTAACTGTAAGGCATATCCTGATCGGCCATATTCCGTGATTGATTGGTCTGTCGTCGCGTTGACTAATCGAAAGAACATGGATGCACTTACATCGTTGGCGGCAGCAGATCAATTTAACGGTTGGCAAGACTAAGGGAGGTTTTTCAAACCAGGGCTTTGTGTACATATCGACTTCATGGATTTCACCCCTTAGGGAGTCTCCAGCTAAAATATAGGACGGTATTCTTTTACATGTTTAGATTTACATCACATCACATAACTTCAGGCCAAAGTATTGCAGCATTTTGTTTATTATTAAGGCTTCTGAGTGACTCTGGGTCCATTAATCAAACCATAAGTGGAACGAAGCCGAGGCTTAGCAAACTCTCATACAGACATGCGCTTTGATGACGTAGAGGGCGTACGTACGACTTTTTAGTTTTATACTCGATCGGAGGGCTGTCAGTGGTTGTTTACCGATTGTCCCATGAAGGTTTTGGAACAAATTTTCGATATTTTTCTCACGCGGTTTTGAAAGAAACTACCTGGTAAGTTGTTACAAATTGGCCGTTCTTTCCTCCTGTTTAAGTACTGTTGTGTAATCCTTTTCCTGAGTTAATGAAACTGATCATATATTGGCGATTACGGTCCCATGTCATGACCGTCATGACCGTGACGACCACAGGATGACTTAGCCCAGGTTAGCCCCACTACTAGTGTGGCCGCGGTATGCTGCGCTGAACCTCTGGCCACACACCGTGGTCCGCGCACTACTGAGGACGTTTTCATAAAAATTTGCAGGAAATTTCTTACATATGGTTGTATTCTATGATGTCTCATCTATCACTTCTGAGATGCTTAGGTGTAATGATGTTCAATTTTCCGAGATATTCTTGAATCTTTCTGGAGCCCATATGCACTCGTGAAACGTCTGGTGATGGCAGCCATTTTGAATGTGAAGAGAGATGACCTCAAGCAGCTGTGACGTCGCGTTTATGCAAATTGCTTGTCGAGCGAGGGCGTGAGTTGCAAATGCGATGGCTGTTTCCTGTACCATGCATTTATCGTCTGGGGGCCACGTGCACTGATCTCTATGCAGGATCTACGGCACAGGAAACAGCCGTCGCATTTGCAACTCGCGCCCTTGCTCGACAAGCAATTTACATAAACATGCATAAACGCGACGTCACAGCTTGAGGTCATCTCGTCACATTCAAAATGGGGTAATCCTTACTTTTAGGACCCCTTATAACTTAAGGTTAAAAGACTCACCAAAACAGCTGACTAAATGACACTCAAAAGTGACATTCTGATATTTATTGACACATTTGAACATTTGGCAATGACACCTCTTGAATATCAGCAGGTTTGATTTTGTAGAAAGAGGGCAGGGTTTTGATTCATGAGGGGTTAAAGACGACGATGACGAACAGAAAATAAATTTAAAAAGCAAGATGGCGAACTGCAAAAAAGGTAGGAAAGTCGCATTTTCTTTGAAAGTGCTTTCAAAATTATAACTAACATGAGTTTGTCTGAAGAAAAACAAAATAGAGGTGTCCTAAAAGTAAGGATTACCCAAAATGGCTGCCATCACCGGACGTTTCACGAGTGCATATGGGCTCCAGAAAGATTCAAGAATATCTCGGAAAATTGAACATCATTACACCTAAGCATCCCAGAAGTGATAGATGGGACATCGTAGAATACAACCATATGTAAGAAATTCCCTGCAATTTTTATGAAAACGTCCTCAGTAGTGCGCGGACCACGGTGTGTGGCCAGAGGTTCAGCGCAGCATACCGCGGCCACACTAGTGGGGCTAAGCCCAGGTGGACTCCCTTTCCTCCCTACGTAACGGAGGGAGAGGGAAATTACTGGACAGTCATCTGCAAAAGTAGGTTTTGAATGGAACTTGTAAAAAATAGAAGTGTCCCAAAGAAAATGACTACCGTTTTGTTTATGTATTATAATGTTATGGTAATCTACATGTACAAAGTATGAATTATAGGCCTAGTTATGGTAATCGTATAGTTTATAGTTGAGTTCTCAATGTTGATGCAAGACAGGCCTTAACCCTGGCGATGGTATTGCGCTGTACCTGTCGCCACACAGCCTGCATTCCAACCTACTGAGGAAATCGTCATCTACTCGCGCACAAAACTTCACTTGTGGTTGTAAAGCCTAAAGTATTAGCCTTTGGCTTTTGTGCTATTTTGTTTGTTTGTTGTCTGTTTCAAAACCCTCATCTATTCGTTAATTTTCTTTTAAAGTTCACCTTCAATTTAATTGTCTTGTTAGCTTTTTTGTTTGTTTATTTTTTTTGGCTTTTATACAGGGTAGTCCAAAAGAAACGGAATGACATACTTCCAAATAATGAAAGGTTTGCGGAAACACCATGTGCGAATAATTTCTCAACTAATTGTTTCCGCAAACTTTTCATTATTTAGTATCTCCACCATGCAAAGCCTCAAATCTTACTGACATACTTCCACCACTTATACCGATGCATGGAGAATTTATTTAGAAGAAAAATTAAACCAAGATCGCCCGATTCGGTCCAGTGTAGTTTTTGTTCTGAAGCAAGGTGGGGGTCATTTTTATCCCGATGAATTACTAAACTCCGCCAGGGAATTTGACTTACATCGTAATTGATCGAGGGACTGTTGTGTAATAATACCCACATGAAAGAAGTGTGCTTCACAAAATAGGCTCTGCAGCAAAAACTGCTGGACCGAATCGGGAGATTTGGGCATCATAATTCTTCTAAAACTGGATTCTCCATTAAAATCATATCTAAGTAGAAATTGCTTTTCTATGCCTTGAGATGAAATAAAGTAAAGCAAAGAAAAACAAAATTAAGAGAACGAAAATCCACTTTTAGTTTATGGGACTCACCCATGTATGGTACAAACAGCATAGTGTAAAACCAACGGGAACGTCCGTGGGGTAGAGGGCAGGGATTGTCGACTGCGCATATCTGTATTTACATACCCTGGGCATGGATCCTTAAAGGTAAGATACAACATTTGCAAACATCACAAAACAAAATTATCAAATTATCACAAAATACCTTACTGGATTGTTAGGGAATGACAGTCTAAAGCATCCTGTAAAAGCGTGGCTCCTGGTGTGCTGACATTTTCAAGAAAAATTGTATTTTTCCAACGCTGGTCGGCTGACCAGCGTTGGAGAAAACTGGCTTTTTTCAAACTCTTTGCTGCAAAAACTGCAAGAAGTCTTTGCAATCGATTACACACCTGTGAAGGGGTACCAACCTGCTAGACTGATTCTCTGACCTTACAATTCGGGCGATTCACAATGCAGGGCGCCACCAAGAGTTTGCCATGGAGAGTTCATTTTTCCCAGTGCATCGTGGGAGATGGTCGACAAATTCGCAGCACAGAATACTTTGTTAGCGTGTGAGTGGAGTATTTTTTTGCCCCTTTCTTTGCTTTTTATCAATATGGTGGGTTTTTTTGGAAGGAGGCAGAAGGCTATGCCCAAATCTATAACAAAATAGCTCAAGTTGTTTGACACTCATTCAAATGGGCCATGTTTTGTCGACCGTAAACTTGAAAAATGGACTCTCCATGGCAAACTCTTGGTGGCGCACTGGATTGTGAATCGCCCGATATCCCCAAAGTCTATAAATTCTCTGTGTCATCTTAAGTGTGGTCAGGGAACCAGACTACAAGTACATGAATGGTTTTCTTGGTTTTTCCAGCATATACAAGCCCAAAACGTGAAACAAGTCAATTTAACAATATTTGGTATATAACATGCTAATCATCCAAATCCATTTATTTCTGAAAATTGAAGCAAAAGCAAATGTTGTACATTCCCTTTAAGTGCGCACTTCGTACATGTGAATATCATAACTAGCAGCTGACATAAGATGGGTGAGTAGACAACTACGAATTTGGCTGTTGCTCATGAATATGTACAATGTATGAGGTACCGGTATAGTAAAATTAGTCAAGCTCTCGGCCCCCCCCCCTCCGTACCTCCCCCCCCCCACCTCCTACGTTCCACTCCCCTCCCTCCCCCCCCCCCCAAAAAAAACCACCCCAAACTTTTTTTGAATTTGCACCGGTTGGCTTGCTAGCGCTAGCCCGGAGGGGTTCATTTGTCATTGTGTTCCCCAATCCGACAGGATTTTTAAGTTTAACCTTCCCAGATGAAAAACTTTACACAGGCTTGACAAAAGATGACCAGATACATGTAACATTTTGAGCATCTTAAAACTATAGTCCATCATTTGCAGCCATCCGAAAAGTAACTGGCGTAATTATTGTTGAAAAACAAACTTGGTTGAAAGATAGTAAGGAAACTAAACTCCCTGTGAAATTATTCTTTCTGGGAAGCTGTCATTTTGAAGTAATTAACGACAGAAGGCAGTTCCAACGGTGATTCTTAAGAAGCACCGTAGGAAAATTTAAATTAGTAGTTCATTTTGTTATGCAGCGCAGCGCGCACATGTATTGGAACGACGCACACGCGCGCGCGGTTGTTATAATTCGTCGGATCAGTGCGCTACGTCGCGTATAGCTGCAATTCAAAACATGATTCAGTAACTTTTGATTTGAAATTGAGATCTTAGAATGCTGTTTTTCTCGGGAATGTACAGCTGAAGCTAAGCTGAAACTTCATCAGGCTAGTTGCTCAGTATCCTTCATTAGATTTTGAACTCTTTTGTTGCTTCAAACGAACAAAATGCACAAATTACAAATGATGGACTGTAGCTTTAAATTATCATGCTCATGTTGGGCAAGTTGTACAATGTACAAATGTACATTGCACGGTGAGCAGTGGTAATATTCCTATTTTGCGATACACCACATATTTGGGTTGCGCAGCATGTGATATTTACACATGAACCAGCGGGCCTTGTTTGTATTGCAAAACGGACAGACCCGCCACTGTAAAAGATGCATCAATCGGCCATTCGAAATCCGGACCTTTGGACCTGCTTTCACGCCTACAAATACTTATCACATCACGTCACAAAGATCACCTACAGTTGCATTGGCACTAAATTTGGCAGAAACGCAGTGTTTGGGTCGGGGACTGCATATGGCAGAGCATCTGAGTTTGCCGAAACTAAACTGATTGTCTAGTCTCATTATGATTGTAAGTTTGTTTTTTTGTTTCACTCTCTGTACTGGTACATTTATAAACCCATTAAACTAGTTTATTGAGTCTTTATACAGGTATGTAGACTCAATCATGTCAATGCAAAACTGTTATGGGGTTTATTTAAACAGAGTCTCTATTACTTTGTGGTTTATTTCAATGACTTTGTAAACAGTATTACAAGTATAAATTTGTAATGATGTACTCGTACCGTTAACCCTAACCGAACTCAACCCATCAAAGTTTCAGCAGGATTTGTTTAAATCTGTTGGGATAGGTACAGTACCCCTAAACTGATGGTCTTTTACACTGGGGTTGGCAAACATGTACCTCCAGAAGTCCAACAGTGTGTGTGTACAATTTCCCATGTGGGTGTTGGAATTTGCCAGAATGGGTATGGTTCCTTGTAAATTAGGCTGGGGAGTTAGGGTTAATGAGTTAATATTTTGAACAGCTACATTGTACGTGTACATGTAAATGTACATCATGTATGTACCGTACATGTAGTTCTAGGAGGGAGATGCTAGTTAGTTTGTAGCCCTAAAATCTGATTTATTGGCTTCCCCTATCTTGTTTCTCCTATCTCCCTCCCCCCCCCCCCCAAAGAATCTTCAGCAACAAGCTCATACAAAAGTGCACCGATTTCTCATAAATCTGCTTTTTAATGTAGATCTATACAAGGCATCAGTCAGAATGTCAGAAACTTTCTGAATTTTGTTTTAAAGTTGAACAAAGAAATTTACTGTACATGTACGTGTACATACTGGTACATGTACTGCATGGGTGGCTTGTGCGTAAAGCGCTCGCCTCTCGCCAAGGTGACCACGGTTCGAATCCTGGCCGCAGATCACATGTGAGTAGAGTTGTGCGTTGGTTCTCTCCTGTGCCACGAGGGTTTTTTTCCGGGCCCTCCGGTTTTCCTCCCTCCGGAAAAATCAAACACTTTCGATCTCAGGCTGTGCTCCGTGGTCATAAATAGGTCGATGTGGCCGGCAGCCATAGGCGCCTTCACATGCCAGCAGCCCAACCACGTTGTAGCCGCGTCCTTCGCAATTCAGCATAACCAGCTGCGAGTAAGGATGATTAGCCTCTGAAATTATTATTATTATATCTATCTAGCGGGATTTGAACCCGCGACTTCCTGAATGCTATTCCGGCACTCTACAAACCAAGCTAAGTACCAAGCCGTGTGTTGGTGGTTTCCCATTTGGTCAATGTCTTTGTTCAACGGCATTAGTCAAAATCCATAAACCATATGTACATGGACATGGAGCAAACCTGGGCAATAGCAGACAGGGATCACACACAGAGTATACAGCATGTTACATTTATCACAGATTTTTAAATAAACTACAAAGGGATCGAACCTGACTGATTTTGTGAATTTTGTGAATTTTGTGAACCTAGCCGGTGTCCCGTTGTGGTTTATTTGAAAACTGTCTGAAAAATACTCATATGGGATATTACCCACATATTGTACAAACTTTCCACTTTATTTCTTTTCAAATGTAAGCCCCCCTCCCCATATTAATTTTTTTTTTTTGCGAGAACGATACCAGATAGACTGAAATGCTTTAACAAATCACCGAGGGTATGAAGTGAAGTGATTCAGCAATAGGAAGTCATTCAAATCTCCACTAATATTGTTCAGGCAATATATGAGCACTTAATCACTTCCTTTATAACATCAATTGTTTTGTAACTGGATTGTGGAGATAAGCGGATTAACGTATTGGGAGTAGTAAATTCCCATACATACATTGTACACTAATGATACTGGGCGAGCCCTCACCACATAATTGGGAAGTTTTTTATTGTTAGGCAAATTGGGACTGAGTTATGGGGACTTTCTGCTGTCCCTACAGGGCCTTCGGTCCCCATAGTACCATGGGACAACTCGTGTGTAGTCCCCACAACTAGTACTACCATGGAGCTAAGGTACTGCGGAACAAGTACATACATATGGATGTACATACATGTACACGTGTTCACTGATGTATATACCAATGATACGTGTACCTAAAAATACTTGTGTTGTACACTCTCCCAGGTGTTCATAACATATTAACTTGAAGCTTGCATTACTCTCAAATTAATTTATGTTCAAATTTTGTTGGGGGCTTAACCACTAACTGTGATCTTTTTACCTCCAAAGATGATTATTCCTACCGGTAATCCTGAACCCCATCATCATGTTGAAAACTCATCCCCCATTTCATTGCAAAATACAGTAAAATTTTGGCCAATTTCATTTTCATCCCAAGTTTCACCCCCCAAAAAAGACTTTGAAAGCCAGGTTCAAAGATGGGACCATTTGCTCTACAGACTTTCAAGAGCAGGGTCACAAAACTCGTCGTTGAGAGAGAAATGGACAAAAATGTAATGCAAACGTGGCAAATCAGAGCAGGCATTCAGGGAGGGCCTGTGTACCGGTCTGCAACCAGATGCAGAGCAGTACACACACACACACATGGTGCATTAAAAGCCAGGTGATTTTAGACTTACATGTACATGTATTTTCAAAATTACACTGGACACAAGTAATAGCAAGAGATTGACGTACATATCAAGGATAAAAATATTAGGCCGATTCCAAATTTAATTTTTATTTTACCGCAGAATTATTATGTGACCATGGGTTCTAGATGAAACAAATGCTGGGCTACCGGTACAATCGGAATCGATCAAGCCGATATATCCGATCACGCAGGCAACTCCAGCGGACATTTTGAGCTGCGGAATGAAATTTTTAAATCTAATTGGACGTGCATACACATGTTCATCTACATGTACATGATAATCATACATGTACATTGTGCATGTGTGCACATCTAGTGAGAGCATACCACTAAATGGATGTCTATAGCAGGCCATCCTTTTGTGATTCAAATTATGCAACTAACTGCAGGAGGAATTGATTGCAGTTTTATTCACTTCTGACAATGCTTGTGTATCCAGGAGGGTACATTGTACCTTGCACATGTTCAATGTACATGTTATCATGCCTGAACAAAAACACACACACATGCACTGAGATAAAACTGCACCATTACCAGCGGGATTTGTATTCTACATGTATACATGCAGTAACAATGTCCATACATCTATAATGTATTGCACAGTGGATCCTGATTTGAATTTGTCTTTATATTGTACTCTTGGATAGTATGCAAATGCAACCACGTTTGAGGGATAGGCCCTACATGTGAAAGATGGGAAGATGAGGAATAAAAGCATAAATTTGTCATTTTTCATCTTCAAATAAAAGAGACCTACATTTAGCAATTTCTTTAATTATAAAACTTGTTGGTTTTGCATATTTAATATAATTTAGTCCGCATGAAGAAATAAGTGACTAAACAAATATAATTTTTTTTTTATAAAAGTATAAAAAAAAAAAAAGAGGCATGTACAATAGTTTTCCGTATTTTAACTTGAAAAAAAAAAAGAGGCTGTATTGTACATCATGTACATTATACAAGTAAAGTATGGTGTATGTACATGTAACACACTTTGATATTTGAAATAACATGTACATGTACTGTACATACATTACCTTATGTGTAATTTTTGAAATGTACATACATGTACATGTAGTACATGTACATGTATACATATCCCCAACTACATCTTGTTCGTTTTGAAATGTTGTTGGAAACCATCCTGAATCCTTCATTGTGGTGGAGGAAAATCAGTGAAACTTTCCAAACGTTTACATTTTTTTTCATTATTTTCATTTATTTTGGTCATCGGGACCTGTGTTCTTGGCTAGGTTGGACGTTCACCTCTAAAATTGTTTAAAACTCTTGATCGATTTAATCTGCCAGGGTTACTCAGGGTTAGAGTATACCAAGAGATGTACAGTTTAAGGGGTGAAATTAATTAAATATAGAGAAAAATAACTACTGGGTAGCTAGGAATATCGTACCTGAAGTACAAACTGAGAAAGGAACATAATTATATGCTTTGCGTATGATTGAGTTCAGTCACGCTTGAATAATGATACAAATGCACAAACTGATTAGGATACAATATGAAATCAGAACAAACCAACCTTGAAGCTCGCGTACAGATAATTTCATGTCATTGATTTTTCAGAATCTTGTAATTAAATTTGCTCTTACTTGTATTCAGCTCATATTGGCCTGAGGAAAAAATGAAATCCACAAAAAGACGCATATACTTATGTACATTTGGGCTTTTGAAAGAAGGGCGTTGGATTATGGATGACACATGCATGCATACATGTACATGTAAATGATTCATTCTGGACAATTGTATGAAGAAGTTTAAATCCAGCAAATAAGAACAAGATTTTAATTAGAACCAAATCAAAGAACACATATAAATGCTAGAAAAAAGTATCACAATTCCAATATTAAGGTTGGCAGTTCTAGTAATTTTGTTAATTTCACCGAAAAACATTTGTCACCAAGGTTATGGTATAAATTTGTTGTAAATAACAGAGTAGGTTCAATAATACATGCTCGTTTTAACTCATTTGTACAGTGAATATAATTATGTTTAGAATATCAAATAATGTTTACATTGTTTAATAATGGGGGTAATTGTCTAGCACTTACATGTATGTGTATGTGTGCGGTACCTGCATAAAGTTATTAAAATATTAATAAATAACTGAGGTATTATAATTGATGACAGGACAGTTATTGATAAGGCACAAGTATTTCTGTAGCTTTTAGCTCACATTGTTTCAATAAAGTGCAGCATTTTCACTGCAAATGCCATAGGTTAACTGGTTGTCGATGTCAGAGGGCCATTGGCACTCAGTACAGTGGGATTCAGGCATGAGGGAGAGGTTTTTTTTGTCCCAAGTAGTTGTGATCTAGCAAGAAATTGAGAAAAACCAGTGTATTTTGTTGGCATCTTTAGTGGGAACATACCAGTATAGCATGTAATAAGCCATTTTAAAAAATAAGGAAAAACTGGCAGTTTCAATGCACCAAACAAGCAGTTTTTTTAAATTGTGGTACAAACGTACATGTACATGTACATGTACATGTATGTAGCTCATGGATTTTCATATTTCCAATGCGATGTTGCACTGCAAGCTTTTGCATTCCAGATAGTGTTTACAGTGAGATACAATGTACGTGTACATTCTACCTGCTCATGTTCTGCACTACTAGTGCAGTATATTTTCATCTTTTGGTTACATAGAAAAAAAAGCGGATTATTTGATTACCTTTATCTTGACTATTAACCAGTGTTTAATATGCTGTGTTGATCCGAAACTTAAAATCACTCTTTTGTGTATGTACATGTATGTATGCTGTTGGTGAACTAAACTGGCTTACACTGAATGTGTACGGAGTCGTCTCACTGAAAATCTGGGGAAAATTGCAGATAAGTTGATCTGCAACATGCCCGCTGTATTGGGTAAAGTAGCAGAATTCTGAACAGTTGCCGAGAGTTTTCCCGCAATGACGTTACCAGTTTGCTAGCAGTGCTTACAACTTCATTCCAGGAGAAGGTATCAGAGTCCTGCAACTAATACAGTGGGCATATGGTGGTTGATACAGTCCGCAATAAACATACCCTGGGTGTTTATTGACTTATAAGTCACATTTATGACCCTGTCTAGTGCCTACCCCATCGCAACTCAACTGTTCAAGTTCATGTCGCTGAAATCTCTGATATTTGTGGACTTTGTTTGGTACAATGTAAATTGCATAAATGTACGGATCATCTACATTCAAAGGTCAGAGCATACTGATCGGAACGTCAAGTTTCTGAACCAACCGGTTCTTTTCAGAACCACTTCTTCAAAGAGATTCTTCCCTGTGGTGATACTGCAAATCCTTACCAGTATGCATTAGCACCATGTCTTATTTTTGTTTTAAACGCAATTGTCTTTCTCTATCTTTCAGATTCCAATGTGTGAATCTGTGGAGCTTCCTTAAGAATACTGCTGGAAATACACACTCCTTACATGTACCGCCATTGTAAGCCAACATGAGTCAGAACGGACCAATGCAAGTCGAGATGAACTTTGACCTGACCCCTACCAATGGGCCAATGAGTACGTTCACCCCCCTGAACCACTCTCCCGGTGGAGGCATTGGGGAGGACAACTTGAACGATAACTTTGCCATACAGGATGGTGACGATGATGATAATAATCAGGTAAGAATTTTCAAGAGAGCTTTTATAAAAAAAAGTGTCTCACATGTGAAACATTTTCTTGAGTTTGTTTCAGAATGACATTTGTTAATTTTTGAGTTCTGAAATTTAAGGTTTGTTTCCTCCCTAAAAATGCAATTTCAGTTTAGATTTTTCAATCAAATACTTGAATCCATTCATAATTGCTACTTGTTTTCCTTAAAAAGATAAAAATTTGCATGCACCTGTACTCCTATACATGTACATTACCCATAGTTTAAAAAAAAAATTCTAAGTGGTATTATCAATGTGCATATACATGTACAAGAACTGACTGAACAGGTTGATACTTCAGTTTGAAATGAGGCACAGATGGCTTTCATGAATTTATAGTGTTTCTGAGGAGACTGAAGCTATTACGGACCAACTATAGAAAGTGGCACCAACTGTGGTTGGGACAGCACATGTACCGGTGCATGTACTGGGATGATGCTTTACATAGTTGGAGCATAGATGGTTGGGGCAAACACATTCATTGCATTGACTGGATTGTGGTCTGACAATAATACATTATCCTTATTAATTAAAGGGAATATACATCATTTGCTTTTGCTGTAATTTTCAGAAATGGATGGAATTGGGGGGTTGGAAATATATAGCAAATATAGTTACACTGACTTTTTTGAGGTTTTGGGTTCGAAAATGCTATAAAAAACCAAGAAAAACAATCATTTTCATGTAGTCTGGTTCCCTGACTCCATATAAGAAGAAACAGAGCAGTTTACATACATTGGGGAATTGTAAGGTCAGGGAACCAGTCTAGCTGGCTTGTACCCGTTCATAGGTGTGTAATCGATTGCAAACAAATGCGATTGTCAGTTGGGGCCAGTATTTGAAAAAAGCCAGTTTTTTCCAACGCTGGTCGGCCGACCAGTGTTGGAAATTGATACAAAAATACCACTTTTCTTGAAAATGACATTATACCAGGTGCCATGATTTTACAGGATTCTTTACACTGTCATTCACTTACAGTCCAGCAAGGTATTTCAAAATGATTTGGTAGTTTTATTTTTTGATGTTTGCAAATGTTGTATTTTCCCTTTAAGGAATAAGAACAGTGAATACGAGTATATGAATTTGCATGAGAATGCCTTATTTAGTCACAGGCTCCTGTGTTTGAATAAATTTACCAAATTGTTATCTACATACATACCGGTACATGTACATGTATGTGTGTGTTATCAAGTTAGAAGTTAAAGTCAAAATGTTTAATGATATTCATCAAATTGCAATAATTTCAGTATGTTGTAAATCGTGATATATGTATTTTCCACACTCCAAAGAGTCCATCTATTGCCCTTGATTGGAAGCCTTAGTCGGGACACTATTAAATGCAAAAATAATGTAGGACGTTACACACGCTGTAGAGCCCAGATGTGCTGTATTCCTGTACAAAACTTACAGGTTCTAGAGGGTAACTTGCATGCTCTATTGTACAAACTCTAATGAAAGTATAATCCTCAGATCATAAAAAAATCTCAAAAGCCAGGAAAAATTATGAATCAAATACATACAAGTTATCACAGGGGAAAAAAAATGTGAAATGGCCCCCGTGGCTCCTCATTTTGTGAGAAGACGTTACATCTTTCTTTCCTAACCACCCATGTGAATGTTACAACGTCATTTTATTCCTTGCTGTTTTGGCAACATTTTTCCTGTATCCAGGAGGCATCTGTTGTGCTTGAAATGCTGGACGATGATGAGAGGTTTGGCTTCTCCGTTATGGGGGGAATTGAGGAGGGATTCCTACCAAAGGTGGATGAGATCTTACCAGGTAAGAGTTGTCTGAATTTGTAGAGATACTGGTACCTTGAACATTGTTGTCTGCTGTGATGTAGTCCATGGTATTTTGCCAAGGGCGCCATTTGCCCCCAAGATTGTACAGAACTTATGACAGTATCACAACAGACACTTGTCTTAGTAAATACATGTACCATTGTAGTAATTTTTTTATAACATTTTGAATCTTAACACTAACTCCCTAGGCCTTTTTGCTAGGATGTAGCCTCAATCATGCAAAATCCTCCAATTGGCCTCACGGAAAAATAGCATTGTAGGCCTATAGCCTCAATCCTGCAAATTCCTCCATTATTTCTTGAATATGGTCTGTGGAGGGGTGACCACTGCCTGAATTCTGCACAATCCTGCGGCAGTGACTGTCAATATGTTGAGGCTTGGCCAGTGACATCCTGGAGCAGTACGGAGGATTTCAAGCATAATCCAGGCCTATATTTATGCGTGGCTGAGCAAAAACAACAAAAGTTCTGGCCCAAGACGTTGAAAAAGTGAATCCTACAAAATCAGTAATGCAATTTTGCCATGTTACCTCAATCCTCCAAATTCCTCCACTTTGGCAAAGAGGATTTTGAAGAATTCAAGGCGATTAGGGTTAAAAAATAACAAAATGATAATTAAAAGTAAGTAAAACAGCCCAACACTTATTTCTGTGGTGATATGTGTGAATGCACATCTGTGTTGACACGCCCGGGTGCATCACTCACCGGTACCATGTACCTTTTACTGCCTTGTGCCCAGGGTCTGTTCTAGCTGTGCTGTGCAAAGCAGGGGGGGACGGAAATATTCAGTAAAAAATTGAGAATAATGTACTCCACAAAGTCCATTCAGGCATGCAACTTTTCCTCGGATCCGCTGATTTCCTCATTGTTTACTTCTCATTAATGCCATTACAAATTGAAAAACACTGTACAAAGTCTTGTGTGGTTTGGAGTTTGCTCTTTTTTTTTAAATTCCCAGTTGCATGCCTGTCCATTTAGTCGTCGTCGTCTTATTAGAAAGTTTTAGATGTTGAAATTGATCATTCAAGATTTGTCCATAAACTGTCCGCTTTGCATCTGCGAAACAACAAGGGTGTTGCAGAGTGTCTTTGGTACCCACTATAATAATTGTTCACCAGGTGTGTGGTCCCTTCCACAGGACAAGTATGGGTGTACAATGTGTGCATTATAACCCGGAGCTTGATCACAGTTTTAAATTTACATAGTATGCATACATTCCATTAAAAAAAAAGTTCCCCCTTAGGCCCCCCCCCCCCAAAAAAGTCTCCGGTTTCTGGTATGGAGCTTGCCCAAAAAGTGGTGCGGCGACGCGGCTTTTTTTTTTTTTACCTGATTTTTTTGCTTCAAATGTCGGCTGATGACTGCAAATGGTGCCCGACTAAACTTAGTGCAAATATATGGGAGTCCAGAGAGGCCACATAAAGCTTATTCTCGACGATAACCCAATCTAAAAACATGTTAAAATTGTGCAGCAGCAGGATTCCAGTCAAACCAGTGAGTTTGGCGGTTTTGAGACATCATCTTTCATTGAAAAAAAAACTTTCTCATTTTGCCGATGCGCATGGCTACGGCGACGCGCGCGCATACCAGAAACCGGAGACTTTTTTTTTTGGCCTTAAGCTTCTTGCACTGTAAATACAGGTGTAAAAAACAAAATACTTGTTCTAGCATTATCATTTTGAGAAAATAATGGAAGACACATTCATGTTCATGTTTTTCAGTTACGCAAACATAAATTGCATCCATAAATGTACAATAAACAAGGGTGTGCCATGAACAGTATGTGCCAGTGTATTCTTCCAATGGAAACCATAATCAGTGCTGGAAAAAATCTAAGGCATTTGGTTGAAATGCTCAATGTCCAAAGTTCAAGTGACGGTCCATTGACTTGTTGCTAAGTTACAGTGTAAAAGCATGCTGTTGCTGATGATTGTTTATCATATGTAGCGCCCTCTAGCGTTTAAATACAGGTAAAGTAGCTGCCTGTTGACACGTGTGAGTTCTACTGTGTGTTTGGAATGCTGCCCTCTTGTGGTAATCATTGACATGGAGGCCTCAGAGTTGTTGTTGCACTTACGGTAGGTTGCAAATTGGTGATACATGTAATTGACTGATTGAACTCTTGACCAAGAGAGAGGGAGAAGAATTGGCATCACGTGTAGTATTGAGACACAACGATTCTTGCGGAAATGATTGCCTCAGTTAGCCAGATTTAAAACAAGGCTGTTGCTAATTTTACGGAAGTGAATGATATAGTGCGCATCATCAGTTGTCAACCAAATGGTTCTCGGACTTCCATTACAAGAATCCTTCAGAAGGGAAGAACCAGTCTTAAAGGGAAAATACAAAATTGGCAAACATTAAGAAATAAAACTACCAAATTATTTTGAAATACCTTGCTGGACTGTTGGAGAATGACAGTCTAAAACATCCTGTAAAATCATGACACCTGGTATACTGTCATTTTTAAGAAAAGTGTTATTTTCGTATCAATTTCTAACGCTGGTTGGCCAACCAGCGTTGGAAAAAAACTGGCTTTTTTCATAAACCGGCCCCAGTTGACCATATTTAGTTAGTCTGGTTTTGTTTGCAATCGATTACACACCAGTGAACGGGTACGAGCCATCTAGACTGGTTCCATAACCTTACAATTCTCCAACGTCAATAAATTGCTCCGTTTCATCTTAAATGGAGTCAGGGAACCAGACTACAGGAAAATGATTGCTTTTCTTGGTTTTTATAGTATATACGAACCCAAAACGTAAAAAAGTCAGTGTAACAATATTTGCTATATATTACCAACCCCCGAAATCCATCCATTTCTGAAAATTACAGCATAAGCAAATGATGTATATTCCCTTTAAACAGACTTGTTTAGAAGCGGCAAAGCACATATTTAATTCCATTCATACCTTTTCGGTGAAAAAGTAAAAACAAGTAAAAAATTATAACTTTCTGATGACTTTGTTCAAAGGTTTTTACTTCATTTTTTTTCTCCAAAATACCCCTCTAGCCACCGGTATGTTATGGTATGCCCCACTCGCGAGTAGTCGTAAACAACACCTTTATATGGAGATTGGCGGGCACGTGGTGTGTACTGTGCGATGTGGCGCAGAATGCAGCAGTGCTGGTGTAGTGTGAATTTAGGACTCTCGAAATATGGACTCATTGGGAGTAATGTGCATGCCTATGGGAAGATTGTGAACGTTCAATCAATAAAAGGGTCAAAGGGACCAGACTTCATAGGAGTCAAAAATTCATGTGACACCAGAAAGTGTTTAAGACCAGCCAGCCGGTGTTTTATCAACTGTTTATGATGGGCCACGTGACAGGCTCTTGACCAATACTGCCTTAAGTACATGTAGGCCTATTAACTTGTATAAATATTCATTGAAACAGTGTTGGCTCTATGATGAGGTGATATTATACAGTGTAGGCTGTACGAGCAGGTGCTACCGGTAATTTTAAACCAATCTACATGTATTGGATTGCTGTGATAAAAAAAAACATTTAAATAGCATCTGTTTGGAAGGGGAATGAAATTTTGGCTTCATCTTTGTTTCAGCTCCCATCTTGGAGATTTTACTTGACAGACTCCAGTACAGTTCTTGGTCCTTTGGTGTGTTTTTTTTTTTGGGGGGGGGTGTGGAGACAAAGCCGAAGCTAGAGAAAATGCCAGGTTTTCATTACACCCTCCCCCCCATAAACTGTATCAAACCATGGAGAAATAAAACATTTCTCCATGATCAAACGAACAAGAATAGGCATTAAGCCTACTCGTAGATCACAAACGTCCACATGCCAAAACGACGTGTACTATAGACGGAGAGCCAATCACATGTTGACATTCCATCAGACTCTTGGCTGTTGATACCTGCTGATCCCAGTTGAGTCTGCATGAAATTCTATTCAACTGATTCAGAACATGCTGTTAACAGGAAGTCTCTTCATATGTGATCTACTTCATACAGTGGTGCAGATTAAGCCAAAGATATTTAAAAAATAAGAGAGCGCACTTGCTATTTGTGACCCGCTCCACAAAAAAAGAGTATTATGTCGCGAAAAAGTGAAATTGAGCAACGTATGCTTTCATTTGGTATACAATAGAGCTCCATAGCCCCTCCCGTTCTGGAGATATGACGTATTTGCATAATAATTACTTCCTTGGAGTTCGAATTGTATAACTGAGAAAACAGGCTTTGAAATAAGCTGGCTCTGTTGTAGAACAACAGAACAATGCACATAAAATGGTTGTTTTTTTTCTACTTTATTCATCAAAATCAACATTTCTGTGAATGAAACCTGAAACTGTAGGTATTAAAGATGTCATACATAAAAAAAAAATGAAAATCACATTTTTACAAGTTTTTCACCCTCTCAACATTGAGCGGGCCATTACACAATAATGCTCAGCGCGACTTCATACCCATTTTTGTGGAGCCAGTCACATTTTACCAGGAACCAGTATTGACGTTTCAACATCAATGACGCCGATTTTTTTCACTGATATGAATTTTACTGAGAATTTCTTCTCCCATTATAATTTTTAAACATAATTTCAATCATACTGAACATATTTTTTGAGAAACACAACGTTCCAAAGGCCATGCTTTTTGGGGTGCATAAATTTCACTGCTCTGTCTGTAGCGTCCAATAAGTATGAAATCGGATTAACTTTGTCTAACAACAGTGACACTAAGTCCTTCGCAACCACATGGCTGCATCTATCAGATCATAGGTCTACATGTATTTGAGTAAGCTACCGGTAAATGCCCTTGGATCTTTAGGGTACATGTGAAGGGTGGAAATTCCTTTTTTTTGTAAATCTACATACAATATTCTCTTAGTGATACAGTACATGTATGTAAATGTATGTGTCCCTCCAGAGTTGGCAAACACTCTCGCGCATCTGCAAATTTGATAACAGTATCCCAACGACGATGATATGCCTTGAGATTTCCCCCGCAATAATGCTGCCCACTTGTGGCACAGATTTGCATAGATGCCAGAAGAGCTGCCCCTTTGAGACCACCTTGAGATTGGAGCCAATTTTCAGCACTGTTTCCAATCTTAAAGGCTTGTGAAATTTTTATGGATTTGTTCGCGGGAAATG